GTATGAAATCTATACATCCATGTATGAAATGCGTGTGGCTAAAAGCACTACTTCCTGTAAATGTCACATGACAGGATCACATGATGACGGTGGGAGAAAATATAACATTTCGCCGCTAGGAGGTGCAGAAAACAAGTTAAAAATCAACAATACAAGAAAGATAAAAATAAGATAATGTAAAAAAGAATGACAAATGACTATAAAACAATAACTACAGGGTATTTCAAATCAAAAGGGGAATAGCTGTGCTGTTTTAAAGTTGTATAATTTAAATGCGCAAAACAGATGTACAGGACAATTGTAATATCAATAATTGGAATGGAAAATCCCCTTGTGAGCTTCAGAGGTTGTGTTACCTTACATTGCCAAGACACACTTTACAACAACTCTGACCCACTTGATCTTCATCATCACCTTTTCTCATTTGCATCGCTTTCACACGTTTTTCAAAGCCTTTTTCAAAACATTTAACACTGACCTCACAGAAAGACCTAACACTCTATTGGATTAGCTAATACGAAAGCAAGGATCTATTTATAGTTGATAGGAATGAGTCTTTATTCATCATCCCATATTTGTTTGTGGGACATTTTTAGTGTTCTTCGATGAAGAAATGTACAGAAAGAGTTCATGCTCTGATATTTGTGCATCTTATATTTGTCCCATACTTCAACTATGTAACGTATCAACAAATGGCACTAGCACATAGCACAAATGTTGTCTTTTGTGTAGTTATTTGGTTAAGGCCTGTGTTTGAACTGAACATGTACCTTCTAAATAGACACAATTGTTCAAGCAAAATACGCAAATAAATGTAATTTTTTTAAAGATAAAGACATGTTGCCTCTGGAGGCTTACAAAAGACGAAGTTTTGACTACGTTTTAAGTTCAAAGAGGGTCAAGGGCAGACTATAAACAAGGTTTGATCTTGAATTAAAACACATCCACAGGGAGTAGCTGGTTCAGCTTGCACTGCCTTGTATATTGGGCGTACACTGCAAAGCTATGTAAATGCTTAGCTGCATCTAAACATATTTATGTATTCAATAAAGAGATGGAAATCAGTTGTGAAGAAAATATCATGTTTTAATTACATTTTAATCAGTGCGCACTAATGTATAAAACATTCAGCCCAGCGTGAGACTGACTCTTCTGACCTCTTACATAAAAACCGTCATTCGATTCACAATTTTTAATCGGAACTGCCATGAAATGTCCTCTTCATCCCCACAATGTCTCTATATAACAAGTCAAAGTTAAAATCTAATTTAACAGTTTTTCATGGTTTTAATACACAATACTCCCTTATTCTTTAAAAGCCAATTAAAATATGCAAAAGTACAATCCTTTAATTTTCTCATAAAAATGTAAATGACACAAAATGGATACTTACAATCAGAGGAATGATTTAACAATGGAAAATAAATCTACTTGTCTCCATGAAATTACAAAGCAATGACATCTCTTAAGTAAAGTATCACATGTAGGCTACATTAAATGCACTAAGGAACAACCGGGGCTTTTACTTCTCCTGTGGTTGAGCTTTGCAGATGTAATGGGATGCAATATGAGGTCATCTTGCAAGAAAACAAGGTTTTATTGTCTTTGACTGAATGAGTCTGTTGTCTTGTCCTAACCACTGGAGCATTTTAAACTGGTCTCCTGTGAGACATGAAAACCTCCTATCACCTTCTCACAGCCAGAGACTCTTTAAGCTCCTGTGTGAACACAGAAGAGCTGAGCTCCAATATCTTACATATAGTCCACTTAAAAGAGTATCCGTGAAAGCAGCTAACAATCATTCTTTTAGTTTGATTGAATTAACCCAGTTATTTCAACAATTTCCAGCAAACTGAGTTGAGGCAATAACTGACTTATGTGCCGTAGATATGACCAACAGTATCTGGTTATCTTGTTCTGCGGTGTCCAGTTTCTCTCTAAACATATAACTGCTATGAATGCAGAATCTGTAGGCCATGGGAAGGTTTTGTTATTGCAGGCATTGTGGTTTACGTTTGCTGTCAGAGTATTTGACCAAATACAGTTGAGTGGGCTTTGGCTGAATGCAGTCAAACAATTGATTGTTTCACACAGATGGGTGTGGAGAGCAAAACAGTTGTAGAAATATCACTGAAGCATTCAAGCATGGGGGAATCAGCTACTAAATTAGTCAGCTGTCTGCGAAGGTCAAACTACCAACTAGCCAGTTAGCAATCCATCTCAGAGCTCTTCCCGCTCTCTCCACAATTCACCCACAAGAAAAATATTTGCCTTGGAAGGCATGGTGTTACTTGAAGGCCTCATAAACCTTTTTTCTTCAATCGTTTAAAGGTATGTCAAAGAATCCTACATGAACTCAAACATTGTTGTTTTTGTGCTGGTCCATCCCGATTTGGAAAAAAGGTGATTATTTGATTTATGTGCATCAATCAGAGCTTTTGCACAACAAGTCTAAATAAAACGTATTTATTTATTTGTAAATGTTGTGATATATATTCAAACACTTTAGATTTATTAACTGAATACTTTTAGTAGTTTTAAGTGGCTTTAAATTGAGTGGTGCTTCTCAGACAGTCCAGCTTCAGCTCACAGATTTAATAATCATATTTCTAAACGCCCAGACCAACCTTTTTCACTTGCTCAACTAAATGTAAAATCAGCTGCAAAATGTCAAGCAGTACATAACTATCCTCCATAGAGAGCAGCAGAGCTGTTGACATCAGGGATTTGATTCATGCCGCTGCTTGTCAGTCATTTTTTTTTTTTTAACAGACTCTGCAGAGCCAATGCCAAAGTGAAGAGGGATCACTTCGGATGAAAGGGTTTGTCCCTTTGCTGACTGAACCTCATCCCAAAATGGTTGAAAAAAATGTAACCCAAAAGAAAATGACATATTGAATGAGATAATTAGGAATGAGCATTTAATCTATAATAATTATGTAAACTCAATTATGCTTTTTATTTTACTTGACAGTTAAAGTTAATTCATTTATAGAAAATAAACTTAAGCCACAATATATGATATCCTATCTATTATTAATTAAGCATTAAGGCCGGCTAATGTGTTAAAGAATAGTGACTCTATCTTGACAATGAAGCCAAATCAGAGCCGAACAATGCCTTTGTGCAGAGCTGGTCTGCTGCATTCACCATATCCATCCACAGGCATTATTTTATAATAGGATCATACAGTTTGTGGATAAAGACTTCATAGTTCAAATGGCCACGTCTCATCATACTACTGTAGGTTTTTCCTTGAAGCCTCCTCCTATTGTGTGAAATGTATATTAATATTAACGCAGATTGTCCATTTTGAGGATTTGGTGAAACTGGGCTTACTGTAGCTCTCACTGAACATCTACTACCAAGCACATATTGCAGCAAAGCCGTATATACAAAATAGTACATCAGTGCAGAGTGAGAAATTATTTGTTTGAATGCTATAGTTGATAAAGCATATTATCAAAAATTCAATTACTGTGTATAACGAACATGTATGGAAAACAAATCTGTATTTATATCTATTGACGTAAACAAACTTTTAACAAAACTAGCTAACATTATCATTTTTATTTGATTGTTGTCTTGAGTAGGTCATTATATTGATGTGTAAAGTTTATTTAGCAGGGACAACAATGTAAAATATTGCAAGGAGAAGGAGTGAAATCAACATATGGGTGTATAAGACATATAACTTAGGCTACTGTATATGCAGCGACGGTTATGGCCTTGAAATTCAGGTGAAAGTCAGTTTGCGATTGAGATCGATTCCTGCATTTTAAAGTACAAGCAAAGTCAGTCTTTACATTTGAATGGTTGATTTCAAACTTAGGGTCACTTTGTCGCACATTTAGGTCATCAGATGACAGGGATATTTTACGATGGTGAAGTGAACTAAAGTGGATTAGAAATAGGCAGAACATTTTGAGAAAAAACAACTAATAATCAATTAAAGTAATACCAATAGATTCAAACCTGTTGAACCTTCCAACATGTAATGTGTAGATAGCATGTTTGTATTTGAGTCAAAAAACGAACCTCTACAGATGACACTTTAGTCTCTATATTTGTCTGCTTTAATGAACTTGAGGTAACTTACAAAAGGGGGCGCTGTTGAGGCAAACAACTGTTAAAAAAGCCGATGGGTGACAGTGTTCTCTTGATACTGACGTTTTTAATGATCCTAATAAGACATACAGGACAATAATGTGACTGCTGACAGAAAGCATTTATACTCTCTAATAGTTAAGGGCGGAAATTGGATTATTGTATCATCAATCACATCTATTAGGTATCATTGTTTCTATGTTGATATGGAAGCAGTTCCCTCAAGGTAAACAAATCCAAGTATTTCTTCCCAGAATGTTACTTTTAAGTTCCATCTCCTTAAGTATCAGCATTGTGGACGTCAATACTGATCCTCATTAGTTAGTTGAATGTACTTTGAGTAAGGAGAACTCAATGTTACATGACAATGTGGGTTTTACTCTGTACAATCTCCCCTATTAGCAATTAAAAATTCCTCACCCAATAAAACAACACTAAGTTCTTTGAGACATTAAACACGCTGAACATCTTGTGAGTACTTGAATCAGGGATATTCATAAAAGCTGAGAGTTTCTCATCTCATCTACGGTGTCACTTCAAAGTCTTTAGAGGTAAATGTAAAACTCAAAAATGGTCGCACAAAACAAATACACCACATCTATCAGAGTGCAGTAGTTTTACTACAGTCTGATGGTAGAACATTAAAATCCAACTGTAAAAAAAAAGGTGTGGTATTCTCCATCAACTTTATGTAAAATGTTATTAATTTTGAGGAGTGTTTGCATTTTTCTCTATAAAAAAATATTTTGTTTGGGTGAAAACTGTCCCTATAGTTACGGTACAGTTTGTGATATAGTTAAATGCACAATATTAGCACCTGTGAAGCACCTGTGAAGCGCTCTGTTCTTTGTATGATGGAGAGTTCTTTTACAAGTCAGTTTTTACTCAGTCCGTTGAGATATAGCATACATAGCTTTATTTCACTGTTTAACGTTGAACCAAAAATTATTAGACAGTGTATATACATTTCATTTTTTCAAATACAGTCCATACAGCTCTGCTTCTATCAATACTTAAATATTGCCTTCGTGTTAAAGGGTAAACAATATCAGCAGTAGAATATCAGGGCACATTTTGACTCCCGCATTGTCAATAAACATTTTTTTAATGTTGTTTTATTTAATCTGAAATATTCCTTTTTGACAACCATCACAGTGAGAAACTAAAGAAACGTTTTTTTCCACAAGGCACACTAATCCAAGAAATACTGAATATGTCCTTTTACATAACAATTGATTGTCTTATCACCCATATAACTGAGGAGTATAAAATGAATTATTCGAGTTTAGAGTTGAGGAAAATTTGTATAATCTTTATTCTCACACAGTATTTGGGTCATATCAACAATAGCATATCTTTTCAAGAGCATGCTTAAAAACACCCCGTATGGAGCAAAAAACGGACACTTTCATTCAACAAAAGCTATTAAATATAATTTACAGGGGAGAGAAATCTTCCACCGAAGACAATGATCAAACACAAGTTGAAAACTTGAATTCCTTGATATGATCTATAGACAGTGAATTCAAACTCATGAGCTATAACTTCTCCATGGTCCCAAATTAACTTGTGAAACTTTATATATACACACAAAAATGTGCTACACAGACCAGCAATGTTAGAGATATTGTCAGGATGTAAGAAATCAAAGTAAATGGAATACCCTAAACAGATGCTGCTCGCTGTGTACGTTAACTAATGTAGGACTGACTGTATTGCACTAGTGATTTCTACTGTTTTAAACGACTACATATTCCTCGTGTCCTCCCTTTTCACATGGTCAACTGTCTTGTCGTGGCACTTGGTCTTTTTGTTCTGGTGAGTTTTGACATGTTTGGCCAAGTGGTCACTCCTCATGAATCTCTTGCAGCAGTCCGGGCAAACAAAGCGCTTCTCCCCCGTGTGAGTCCTCAGGTGTCTCTGCAGCTCGTCCGACCTGGTGAAACTCTTCCCACAGAACAGCCAGTTGCACACAAACGGCCGCTCTCCAGAGTGCCACCGCAGGTGCGCTTTCAGGTGAGAAGTTTTCCCGTAAACTTTCCCGCAACCCGGTATGTGACAAATGTGTTGCTTCTTCTTCCCGGGCTCGTCGCTGGAGGTGGAGGACTGGCAGTTGGGACACCTGCACCTCCTGCACCTCCGCGCAGTCGCGAGGGGGGACTTGGTGTGCAGCAGAGCCGCAATTTGCGTCTGATATTGCGCAAAGTCCGTATGTCCCAGTACCAAGCCCCTCTGCAGCTGGAAGCGATGGTGACCGAGGGAGGCAGAGTGGCTTACATGGTTCCCCTGCTGTAGGCTCCACCACGGAATATCCTCTCCATGGTTTGGGGACAACTGTCTCTGCTGCTGGTGCACAAGGCCGGACGGTCCCGTGACAAAACTTGTCATTGCGGGCGGAAGGGGGTTTGCGGCTGCGTAACTTACGGCGGGGACGTAGGTGGGAGGGCAGGAGGACTGCAGCGACTGCATGGAGCAAGGTAGCATCTTCACAGGGGAGAAGTCATAGGGGTACGAGGGGTCCGCCGGAGGGGTGAGGGGTAGTTCGTGGTGCGAGCTGAAGGAGCTCTGGATGTGCGCAGTGAGCTGGGGCTTGGAGGATAGTCCGAAAGTGGAGTTGCCAGCCAGGCTGCTCTGAGAAATCCCCTCGTTAGTCCACGGGTGAAATAAACGCGAAGGTGAGCCCAGAGTTGGGTCGTAAGGGACCTGGATGAAATCTGTGTGGTTTGATCCGTGGTGATGCCCGATCCGGTTACAAGTGGCAGCCAGGAGAGCCAGCGGGGAGTGCTTACAGTGCTCTGGAGAAGAGTTGGGAGTGCGATCCTGGATAACCGAGACACACGTGTTTTTATATTACAACCATTTCAAACACACTTTATGAGGTTACAAAAAGACAAATCATGTGCTACCTTTTAATATTTCACCAAAGGATGTTAAAATAGTTTGTCTAAATGTAATGTGCACTAAATCCTGTCGCCTGAGTCGTGTTGATGTGACATAAAAGTTGGCGTAATGTTGCTGCAGCAGTCATTAAGACTCAAACCATTAGCGTTTATGATAAAATTATATGACACTGGACTATCAAAGTAACACAACTTTTATTTTTGTTAAATATAAACGACTCGCAAACGTAAATCAACTCGCATGAGTGAGTTTACAAGTTATTAAAGTTAACAGAAACTTGCGCACAAACCTGGAGAAAAGCCTGGAGTGTTTCATTCCGCAGTACAGCCACTGCTGCCATGGTAAGCGTCCTCCTCCCTCTCGATGAAAACAAATAAAAATGAAAGCTCTAATTTAGATAAATGTGAGCATTCGCAGTAAAATGTCTCGTCGAGCAGGTCTCCACTCTTCAGTGCTTCCTCTCTCCGAGATATCCTTGGTCTATCTGAAGAGTGAGGGATCACTTCTTAGAATTTGATAAGGACTTTGGTGGGCCGCCAGCCAGTCAGAAATAAGATTTATTACTTTGAAGTTTGCCGCTGCCCAATCATCAAAGAATAGCGGCTCTTTGAGAGGGGAAAGCAAATCCTTTGAATCCACAAAGCTCCTATGGTGTGTTTGTTGGTCTGGATAAAGGAGCTGATTATTAGGGGGGATGGGAAGGGAGGAGATAAAGGCGGGACAATTAATGAAGTAATCACTATGTGGGAAATGTATATACACAAATAATTGGATTTTCTTGATCAAAGACCCCCATGCCGCCTGGAGACCTCAGTATTGGATGCTGTAGTCATCTGATCCTCTTTTTGTAATTAAGGATTTGTAGCAGAACCCTATGTGACAATGTGACATTGTTATCTCTGGAGATCTCCAGCGTTGCCTGACTGTTTGATGGAGGAAAGAAACCAAATCAAGTGACTCAACACAAAGTTCTCATCTCTCAAGAATATGCGACTCTTACATTTTTAATTTGAATTACATTTTCTTTGTTGTTCCTTTGAACTACAACACGGCATTAAACACTTAATTATGCCCTCTCTGAATTATTTAAATACTTAATTCTCCCTCACTCGTTTCAATCATTTGTTTTATCAGGACCTTATTTCTCATTTCTAATTTTTCTCTTTGTTCAGCATCAAAATGTAAGCTTAGAGCCTTAGGGTAAAATCCCAGCAGCTAATTCAAATTATAACATGTTACTTAACATGACACAAAAGGGAAACCTCTGTTTTAAATCAGGTGACAAAAGCAGCACTTGAAATGGTGATGTCTCAATTATTTTGGGTCTGGGGAGGAAGTTCAGCACAGGATCTCGTCCACTCATCCAAATTAAACAAAGGATATTTAAGAAACCTTGGCACAAAGGCTACTGGCATAAAATATCATATTCCATCCTGTTTTTGTTTCAGAATATTTCATAAAAGTATGCGGTTTTCTTGAGATAATATTCAAAGTTTTGTGGCAGAGAAGTCGAAATGGAAGTTGTAGTTTTCTGTATCATTCTCTGATCTTTATCTGGCTTCCCTGAAGAAACAATCACTGTCCTCTCAACTAGTTTGGAGCGGTAGATTTTGAATTAGATCTGTTGCTTTGAAGGGATTAATGTTCCCAGTCCTCTCCCACGGCTTTACACACAGTCATGAGGGAGAGGGGGAGTCCTGCTGGGCTGCACTGGAGCCATGTTAAACTACAAATCTGGCTACAGGAGTGGTACTCACACTGTCTGACTGATTAAAAAAGTGCAGAACTTCTTGTTTACATGAAGTTATTGCAGCATTGGGTGATGAAGTGTGTTGTGTGAGCATATAAAAAGTCTGCAGAAAACACTACTTTGAATTCTTAGCATGCGTTGTGTTGAATCTACCGTTTACAAGAGTGTGAGTGCTTTTATACACCTGTAAAATCACCTTACAGAGACAGCACTACAAATGGTTGCAACCTGATCCTCCTAATGTGTGAATGTTCTTTTTTTGCAGGATCAAGAAATATGTGTACCACTTTTAAAAAAGCACCCTATAACACGGTTTACAACTAATCGCTTTATCAAGGCTTTATAAATAAGTTATAAGCAATTATGATAAACAATTTGCCAAGTTGTGCATATTTTTGTTGATCCATCTTTAGCAGAAAGTGAGAAACCCATAAGCATTTTAATAATGGTACTGTTGGTACGACAAATTCTACTGTTGGTTTACATGTATTCACTTTTTGCATTTTAGTTTTTAAGGATTTGGAATCAAAAATAAATTGACACAAAAGACAATCAGACAAGGCGTGATGCTAAATTGGGTCAGGGTCGTTAAGTTGGTGGGGACCACAGCCCTCGTCAAACTTGGCCTTCAATTGGGTTAGAAAAGCTTTGTGACTGCATCTTGCAAGGTTGCAAAGCTTAACAGGTGACAACATTTTGGCAACACACAAAACGTCGCAAAATATATCATTTGATCTAATTAGAAAGCTGTCCTTTCTGGATTTTCACCAAACAGGTGAAAAGCAGACTACCAGCTGAATCAACCAAATTGCTGACCAGTTAAGATGTCACTTCAGTAAACATTTTCACAGTCTACTGGGAAGTTTGTATTTATGCAGAAAAGTCCTGTCCGTTAGTGTTTGCTGCCAGGTTTAAATGTCAGATAAATGTCACATTTTGTAATCTGCTCTCTTATGTCAAACTGTTAAAGTAAAGGGAAAATCCACCCTAAAACAGAAGTAACATTCCTCTATGACCCTGAACAGCAGCGCTGCTTTGAGGACAAGCGGATATGAATTCGGATTTAGGGTGTATTTCCACTTAAATCAGCTTTACATGTAAGCTGTCATGCTATGCAAAGGCAAATTTCAGAACATATTTGACAAGTGCAAGAATTTTTTGAACCTTCAGAATTACCAAATTATTGATATCTTCCTTTGAGATACTCGGTTCAGCCCTAAATGCAAGTTCTTACATTTTAATGCATCTCAATGGGACCCCAGCTGAGAGATGGATTTGGCTGAGCAGGACTTTGATATATTTTGTAAGAAATTCATAACTGTGTGCTCGACACAATGTCCAGCCCCTGAGGTAATTTACTCCAAACCACTACCGTCTTATGGCTATGCCTCAAGTTTTACAGGGTCACCTCAGCCGTGGTTTGGTTTAAGAAAAAAAATCCTGCAACATTTGATGGGAAAATTAACTTGGAGGAACCCCATTCCAATATTTTTCTACATGTAGACTCAAAGGTTTGAACATGGATCCAGCTTCAACCATGTGTGTATTTCATATGGTTCTTCAAAGCATGTGTAGGAAATGTTCCAAATCAGAGATGAACAGAATATCTAAAAAGAAGATTCAGTCCTGCAGTGGATACAGTAAACTGAACTGAAACAAGCTCAGAAAACTGAATTCCCTGCCTTTTAAAACTAAATGAATTCATAATTCAACAGGTGAAGTAGAAAAAAACAACAGCAGTCAAAAGTCAGTAGTTTAAACATATTTATTTTACCCATATAAAATGTCAGTTTACTAGGTATAAATATAAATGTACAATAGATATATTAGCATGTTGATTTTGGTTCCGGTCCATTTCAGAGTCGAAGAAGGCAATCTGCAGAAAAGAGAGAAAAAGTGACAATCACGATTATGCAGCACACTCTACATATTTTTCCTTTTGATTTGTCCCGCTCATGGTACGCAAAACCCAATGTACAATAATTGCCAACAAAACATGTCTCTCCAAACACACCATTGAGCGAAAAGGAGCAGGGAGAAGAAACAAATCTTATATGACCTGCCCCTTTCTAAAAAAAACTAAAATAAATAGAAATAGATGGTCTGCCCTTTCACAGCCAAACATAACAGGGATACTAAGAGAAACACATATCTTTCACTTAGTTTGAGTTTTTATTGGTATAACTTAAAATAAAATATACTATTTATTGTATTGACCCCAAATGGATCTCAGAAAGTGGAGCTGAATGTGATCTTGACATTTTGAAAACTTTGAGCGAGCTGACAGTGAGGACTGTGGATTGACAGAGTCAGGGGGCAACGCCACAACATGAACCCTTTTTAGCTTTCCCTATTCTCCGGACAGATGGAGAAAAAAAACAGGTTCAACATCTGTCTCATACGAGAGATTTCAGAGAGGATGTGGGTGGGGGTGGCGAGGGTGCATGTGTGAAAGTGAGAGTGAGTTTGAGTGTGTGGGAGAGAGCGAGGGGAGAAGGAGAAATGCTCGAGGCTACTGGGTACTTGAGCCGCTATAATGGTGTCTCGTATGAGAAAACATCTGTGAATTTCCTCAGTGATCTGCAACAATGTATAACTCAGAGCAGTCACTCAGCAGACCTTTTGAAGTTGCTGTCTGACAGAAAGCTGCCATTGTTCGCAGCCCCCAACGCACAGAAACTCCAACTTTGGTCTCACTAATTTCCCCTGCAATGCGATACAACTCCTTTTTTTCTCTTCCTCTCTGCCTCCTCTGAGCCTATGAAGCTGGAGATCACTGCATATTCAAGAGCAAAGAGCAAAGCCTTGGCAATGTGCAGGATTGGCGTGGGGTCACGTAAGGCGGGACAGGTCATCTTACCTTCCCTCAGCCCACCCTGGATGCCTTAATCCAGCCTAAAGAGGGAGACTCTTCCTCCACCATGATGTACGTTACAGCCTGCAGCCCAGGAATCTGTAATCATACTATATGATGTGATATCTATTATTGAATTGACATCCATTTGTTCTGATCTTAAAACATTACAATAAGATTCCATGTTCTAGTAAGCGCAATGTTTTATATTAATATTGCAATTTGAGTACATTAATTAAACAAAGTTAAAGAACTTTTGAGGAAACTTTAAAACAGAGTGAAAAAACATTATAGAGAAATATTAACCTTTATCTTAACGAAGATAAAACATGTTAAATACAGTATTCTAGTGCCTATGTCAAACCACCCAGTTAGCTTAAAATATCAACTAAAATATAGTTTGGGCTAAATAAAAAGGAACATTTGGGCCCTATTTGAGCAGGTGACCTTAAGAGGTATGTTATAAATACTATGTGGGGAAGTCTCCATATAACTACACATATAATATTACAGCTGAACCTCACTCTTTTTTATTCTGACCTCAGTCAAAAGGCAGTTTGCTTGAGCACCAGGTGACACCTCCCTGCTCCTCCTGGCAGTGGCAAAAAGACAAGTTTCTGTAATGCATCCCAAACTGAAACAAGGCCGTGATAATTCTCACACTGTTACCCGTCCAGCGTGTGTTCAACGGCAGCTGGTCCCACCATCTGGGAAAGCAGCATCGGGGCAAAACAAACAGGTCACACCTTTGGCCATGCCAAGTCTGTGAGTGCCCCGCTCCGTCTAAAAACTGAGAGGCTAATCATAATTTCACGCTCTGATTTGTCAACATCCCATTCCAACCCCGGAGGAACCAAAAACACTTGAAGTCCATAAATGCCATGCTGTACAGGATAACAGCTTTGCCACACTGTGCTTGTATTGTTCTGTGTAAACCTGTTCTTCCTATAGCCTTTACACAAGGAAGCAACAAAATGGTTTCATTTCTTTTTTTGCAAATGGAAAGGAAGCTCTAAGTCTGACTGAAACATTTGGTCACCACCAAGATTAGCAGACAGGAA